ATCCCTTATTTTCTGATTAAATATTTTGATTAAAAACAAAATAGGATATAACAAGTATGGAAACTATAGATATATTGTTAATCTAAGATTATAGACTGAACTATATATATATATTTTTTTTGAACGGTATTTTGTGATTTATTAAGGACAGAACTTTTATTTTTTTATGAAATCGTAACAACAAAACGACAAAACTATGATCAAGATGAGACAGAAAATGTGATTTAATAATTGTAATTTTATTTCGTACCCTGATTAGAGTGTCGAGCGGTTCACGAACCGCACTCGGTTTACTTAAAAAACCATGGTTGCTCTTCTCCAATTTCCGGTCCAGTGCATGACTCACTAACGCAAGAGACACACTGTACAACCGAGTCATGTTGCCCAGCGGCTCAGCCAACGCACCCGCGAACCCACTCTTGGCTTCCACCAGCCCGTCGTAGCATGTCTGCTGGTTTGTAACCACTCCGCTGAGCAGACTCGTGACTCTGTCCGCCAACTCGCCAGTCATGTCCTTTGCCCCCTTCAGCTCCATGGAGATCTTCTCTAAATAGTCAACATTGAGCTCGGCCAGCTGGCCACAGTCCTGTATTGCCAGTGCTTCCATAGGGGACAAGGCTGCGGCGCGTTTGCCAGCGAGGTAGTGGTTTATGATGATGGACAGTTTACGGGCCTGCTTGAGGCATTGCTTGACGGTGAACTTGCCATAGTGGTAGGGGTCGGAGGGGGAAGATTTGAAGGCAGACAGGATGGAGCGGCAGAGTTTGGGGTAAGGAGTGGACTTGCATGTAATGGAAGGTAGCTGAGACGCTGCTGGGGGTGAGGTTGGTTGCTGAGCGGAGGAGAGGAGGAGGAGAGAGAAGAGGATGGCGGTGGATAAAAGGTAGTAGAATGGCATCGACGGCATTTTGGTTGAATTATGTGTAACAAGTACTGCGAGAGGATGTATTAGGCACGTAGGCATTAATATAGAGGTGGTGGAATGTTGAAAAATTGATGAAGAGAGAGCGCGTAATTGGGACAGATAACAAGAATTTGTTTTGGGCGAAAAGGGTATTTGATTTAGTCCCTGTACTTTTTTGAGCTTATTGAAATGACCCCTCTACTTTTTTTGTTATTTTTTCAACTTGTGTATTTTTTTTATTGAAATAAATCACTTCACTCACTAAATTACTATTCAATTGAAAAATCACCCCAAATTATTTTTTTTCAAATAACTCCAAATTGAATAGATAACATTGTGAAATATTATATAATTCTAAAATTCTTGCAGAGTTGTTAGAGTCCCTATGATTTAACATTCATGAAAACATATCTACTTAAAGAAAATAGTTTTTGGTCAGTAGGGATTCCTGCAGACACTACTTGGAGCTGGAGAAAATTCCTAAAACTTAAAACATATGCTAGACCTCTGGTGAAGCATATAGTTGGTAAATGTGATACTATTTTTCTCTGGTATGATTCTTGGCATCCCAAGGGACCTCTTATTGAAGCATATGGGTAGAAAATTGTATGAGATGCAGCCATTCCCTCTCAAGCAAAATTGTCTCATGTAATCCAGGGGGATTATTGGAAATGGTCTCCTACTAGGTCCCCTGAACTATTGTAGATTCAAATTGCTTTGTGTGGAATGTTATATCCTAATTAGGCTATGGAGAATTAGGTTGTTTGGTTGGCTTCTCCATCAGGTTCTTTTCAAACAGGTGCTACTTGGAACTTCCTTAGGGAAAAAAGATCTAAGGTACCTTGGTTTAGACTCATTTGGTAGTCAAATTCTATTCCCAAACATAGTTTTATTGCTTGGCTGGCTATATTAGATAAACCCTCTACTAGGTCTAGGCAAAAGAATTGGTCTTCTTCCATTGATGACACTTGTGTGCTATGTGGGAATGCAAGTGAAACTAGGAACCATCTTTTCTTCTCATGTCCCTACACTACTCATATTTGGGAAAGGATTTCTTCTATGCTGGAAATCCCATTAAACTGCATTTGGCAAGATGCTTTGGATTGGTTATGTAAGAGAGTTAAACATAAGGCATTGTACAGCTTTCTTCTTTAATTAGTTTGGTGTGCATCAACATATCATATATGGATTGAAAGAAACAACAGGATACATAGACAGCTATACAGATCTCCTTCTGAAATAATTGATATAATTCAAATGGGTGTCTGAGATAAAGTACTGGGGTCTATAAAGGAAAGGTCTTCTCCCATGTCAAGGAAAATGGCAGCTCAATGGGGATTAGAAACTTTATGTACAACTAAGGTTTGAACATACTTTAGTTTAGAAGTTATTTCATTCTTTGTACTGACATTAGTAGCAGCCTTAACCAAAAAGAGCTGCTTTGTATAGATTTTGGTAATAAATTCACATTTTACCCCAAAAAAAAAAACATTCATGAAACATATTCTTATGACATGGATATATATATATTTTCATGAACCCCAAAAATTCTTTTTCTTCCTCCTAAATTATCTAAAGCCTTCAAACTCTTTTACCCACACAAGTCCATTAGTCTCCCCTTTCAAATATCAATGTCTTAACTCCTTCAAATCATCACCAAACTTGAAATTTCTTGTAACAAATTATTGGGCATGCTTGATTATCCTTGCAATTCATATATCTTCCATCCATTCATGCATTTGAGAGGAAAATTTGGGAAAATTTTAAGATAAGTTCTTGCCTTTTCTCTCTCTAAACCCACCATATCCCTTGTGAAAAGCTTGAAAAAAGCTTGTTACTTTTGGTTGTTGTAGGCTAAATTCAACCCTTTGAAGGAGATTCTTTGCTTTTTTGAGTGATTCTTAAAGATTGAAGGGGAAAAACTTGTAAGTTTTTTTATGGATGTGTTCAACATCTCATGTCAAAGAACAACAAACTTACAAATCTTATATCATAGATCCTAGATGTCCAAAGCTTTAACGCTTCTAGAGGAGGGAAAAACGAGAGAGAATTGGGTGTACTAGAGTAGGCAGCAATGAATATGAAAATTTACAATTTGATTAGAAACGAAAATGGAAAAGAAATCATGACTACTATGTCAGTAACCAAACAAGTGGGTAAGGAGTTAAAGAAACAAGAAACAAGAGT